CCTGATAGAATAATGTATCATGTTAACAATGCCTGATAGAATAATGTATCATCTTGACAATGCCTGATAGAATAATGTATCATCTTGACAATGCCTGATAGAATAATGTATCATGTTGACAATGCCTGATAGAATAACGTATCATGTTGACAATGCCTGATAGAATAATGTATCATGCTGACAATGCCTGATAGAATAAGGTATCATGCTGACAATGCCTGATAGAATAAGGTATCATGCTGACAATGCCTGATAGAATAACGTATTATGTTGACAATGCCTGATAGAATAACGTATCATGTTGACAATGCCTGATAGAATAACGTATAATGTTGACAATGCCTGATAGAATAACGTATCATGCTGACAATGCCTGATAGAATAACGTATCAGGTAGACAATGTCTGATAGAATACTGTATCATTTTTATAACATCTGATAAAATAATGTACCATGTCGACAGTTTCTGAGATAATAATGTATCATGTTTACAGTGCTTGATTGAAAATGTACTACAATAATGTATCATGTTCACAATGTATGGTAGAATAATAGGATTACCTATTAACATAGGTACTATAACACTCTTGAATCCACATAAACAGGTACTGACAACACAAGTATTATTTCACATTAAATCTTCTCTTGAAGTAACCAATAAGAAAAGTACTGTGTCATGTTAAATCCTTTCTATAAGGTACTAATAACACATGCATCATATCACATTGAATCCTTTCAATAAGGTACTAATAACATATGCATCATATCACATTGAATCCTTTCAATAAGGTACTAATAACATATGCATCATATCACATTGAATCCTCTCAATAAGGTACTAATAACATATGCATCATATCACATTGAATCCTCTCAATAAGGTACTAATAACATATGCATCATATCACATTGAATCCTCTCAATAATGTACTAATAACATATGCATCATATCACATTGAATCCTCTCAATAAGGTACTAATAACATATGCATCATATCACATTGAATCCTCTCAATAAGGTACTAATAACATGTGCATCATATCACATTGAGTCCTCTCAATAAGGTACTAATATCATATGCATCATATCACATTGAATCCTCTCAATAAGGTACTAATATCATATGCATCATATCAAATCGAATCCTCTCTAGGTGTTACCAATAACATAAACATCATATCATATTGAATCTTTTCTAGGTATTACCAATAACGTAAGCATCATATCACAATGAATCCTTTCTAGGTGTTACCAATAATGTTAGCATCATATCACATTGAATCCTTTCTAGGTGTTACCAATAATGTAAACATCATATCACATTGAATCCTTTCTAGGTGTTACCAGTAATGTAAGCATCATATCACATTGAATCCTTTCTAGGTGTTACCAGTAATGTAAGCATCACATCACATTGAATCCTTTCTAGGTGTTACTAATAATATAAACATCATATCACATATAATCATCTCAAGGTGTTAGTAATACCATATACATCATGTCACATTGAATCATTTCTAGGTGTTACTAATAACATAAACATCATATCACATTGAATCATTTCTAGGTGTTACTAATAACATAAACATCATATCACATTGAATCATTTCTAGGTGTTACTAATAACATAAACATCATATCACATTGAATCATTTCTAGGTGTTACTAATAACAAACATCATATCACATTGAATCATTTCTAGGTGTTACTAATAACATAAACATCATATCACATTGAATGTTTCTAGGTGTTACTAATAACATAAGCTTTATATCACATTGAAGCCTTTCTAGGTGTTACTAATAACATAAACACCATATCACATTGAATCATTTCTAGGTGTTACTAATAACATAAACATCATATCACATTGAATCCTTTCTAGGTGTTGCTAATAACATAAGCATCATATCACATTGAATCCTTTCTAGGTGTTACTAATAACATAAGTATCATATCACATTGGATCCTTTCTAGGTGTTACTAATAACATAAACATCATATCACATTGAATCCTTTCTAGGTGTTGCTAATAACATAAGCATCATATCACATTGAATCCTTTCTAGGTGTTACTAATAACATAAGTATCATATCACATTGAATCCTTTCAAGGTGTTACTAATAACATAAACATCATATCACATTGAATCCTTTCTAGGTGTTACTAATAACATAAACATCATATCACATTGAATCCTTTCTAGGTGTTACTAATAACATAAGCATCATATCACAATGAATCCTTTCTAGGTGTTACTAATAACATAAGCATCATATCACAATGAATCCTTTCAAGGTGTTACTAATAACATAAACATCATATCACATTCATTTACAACCCTTTACAAAGTGCCATAGAAAATGGTATTTCATGTTATTACAAAGTGCCATTTACAATGGTATATTATGTTATAAACTAGTCATTTATCCTATATTATGATTTAGTGATAATGTACAAACTGTACAATGGACAAAAGTGTTTTCATTCTTCACATGAACATCACCTTACACTGACCTGTCATCAATTCATAGACATATCTTGAGAACAAGTATTTTTGAAATGCATCTGACATGTACATTTATACTATAAGATTGCCACATTTCATATAGATACACATAGTCAATATCCATTGGACCAACCCCATGCACTTTCAATTAAATCCTTTCTGGAAGTAACTAATAAACAAAGCAGCATGCCACATTGAATCCTTTGTTATAAGTTACCAATAAGAAAAGCATTGTACCGCATTAAGTACTCCCTAAAAGGTAAAAGTAATTACATGTCGTTGTTCGTATAATTAGATAATTCTAGCCAGATTTTTGTAACTTTCAGCATGTTTATCTTGCAGTAGTGTAAAGGTGTTACATAACAATCAGCTGTAATATAGCAGCAGAGAATAGTGTTTGAAAAATGGAGTGGTGCTATTAGCATTATTATTTTCCATTTGTAGTTTCTAAATGATTTTAATATTATGATGTATTGAGATGTTGAAAGAAACAAAGTGACACACACACATGTGCATATATACATATATGATTCCTCCCTCGAAACAGAAAGTATTTCGATAAGGCGACGCGACTTGGTTATGATTAAGTTTTTGAGATACATCTGTTGTTTTAAATTGATAAAATATCATCAAATTTACCACAATACCACAGATAAAAAAATAATGTTCACAAATGTGAGGTAACAGCCAATTGAAGGTGATTGAAAGTCAAATCGAAGAATTTGGGGAAAGGGGGGGGGGTGAAAAGCTATGACATGATGTATGTAACACGAAATTATTTCCAAGAAATAAGAATATTATTGTTCTCATGTTATAAAATTGCTTGGTTAGTGACAAAATTGTGCATGTTACTGGTAATGAACCATCTAACATAGTAGTACGTTATTGACTGTTTTTTTAGAAACATTTTGTACACTGCACAGATGTGAAATGGACAAATGTAGTCTATAGAATATTGGTAATCAGATTAATAATGTTATCTTGTATTGTAGAGTTAGGTGGCTATCAATGCTTTAAGTAAACTTTTGGACAAGTTACCTGACATTTTGATGTAATTTTTTACACGTACATTAGTTTACACGTGTTTTATTATAGGAAAAAAATGGTTCTGTGGCTAAACTAAGATGAACCAATGACAACATACGAATAGATAAGAATTATAAAGGAAGAACCAATAAGATACATTTCAGAAAGTTTGTAATAAACTCTACAATTCAGAACTCTTTTGAATGAAAGTATTATTGAACTATAAGTAATTTACTAAATGATTTCACTGGCAATTAGCAAATGCTCTTACTGTATTTTTATGAGAAAGTTAGGACTTTAATTATTAGTTATTTGACCAATGTATTTCACAAGTTTTAATCTATTCCTGTTTTTTGTTTCTTTCTTCAGCCATCAAAAGATCTAGAGATGAATAATGTTGATATCTTACTAGAAACTAAGTCAAGGTTATTACATGAAGTAGCTACATTGAAGAAGAAATGGACTGAAATAAAAGAGTTAGAAAATGAATCTGTGCAAGAGGTAAACTTATAAACCATATATTATAATGATCTCTAGATGGTCAAACTCTGTTAAATTCCAGCTAATATATCTGTGAGAATAAGTTTTTTTGCTGAACTGATGATAATCTTCCATTGCAGCTCGAAGTGGAGCAGGCTCTGGTGGATGGAGAACAAAGAGATGAAGAACGTCAATATGAAGAAAACCAGAAAAAGCTGAGCAATCTCTTGGAACAACAGAAGATGCTTCAGAAGGAGGAGGAACGGGTGATGACAAAAGTAGGTGTTATTTTAAATAGTGGAACATAAATTGTTTACAGGAGAATGTGTAATGTTTCAACATGTGCTAATGATCAATTATTTATACAAAACAATGATTTTTTTTTCTTGGTAATTTTCCTTATGTTTCTTGAAACCTTTTTTAAATTGTAAACTAGTGATAAAATCTGTAATGTTAAAGTTCATACCTGAAAAATAAGAACTTAAGCTGTGTTTTAAGACCAATGCTTTGGTGAACTAATAATAGTCTGTTAAATACAGTGTTATTATAGTGGTCAAAATTATTTTACATTACATGTGTGCTGGTACTGACAGTAAAAGTAAGGCATGATATCTGTAGAAAATTGTTGAGCTGTTTTATTTTGTAATGTTGAACACATTGTTATTGTCAGCACGTGCAACTTAAATTACTTTAAGAGGTTTATTTAATTCTATCTGTATCATCAAATCTTACATTGTACAAAACTCACTCTAAGAAACTAATCTTAACAGTCGTACACCTTGAATGTAGCATGTGACTTTGGACAGTTGTAGCTTCTTAGTAGATCTAGAATCTGTTGTTAAAAATGATTACAGTGAGTTAATGTGCAGTGTAAAAATATACAACAATGTTAACACCATACAGATATCAACAAGTCATGTTAACACTACAGATATTGACAAGTCATATTAAACCATACAGATATCAACAAGTCATGTTAACACTACAGATATTGACAAGTCATATTAAACCATACAGATATCAACAAGTCATGTTAACACTACAGATATTGACAAGTCATATTAAACCATACAGATATTAACAAGTCATGTTAAACCATACAGATATCAACAAGTCATATTAACACTACAGATATCGACAAGTCATAGTAAACCATACAGATATCGACAAGTCATATTAAACCATACAGATATCAACAAGTCATATTAAACCATACAGATATCAACAAGTCATGTTAACACCATACAGATATCAACAAGTCATATTAAACCATACAGATATCAACAAGTCATGTTAACACCATACAGATACCAACAAGTCATGTTAACACCATACAGATATCAACAAGTCGTGTTAACACCATACAGATATCAACAAGTCGTGTTAACACCATACAGATATCAACAAGTCGTGTTAACACCATACAGATATCAACAAGTCGTGTTAACACCATACAGATATCAACAAGTCGTGTTAACACCATACAGATATCAACAAGTCGTGTTAACACCATACAGATATCAACAAGTCGTGTTAACACCATACAGATATCAACAAGTCGTGTTAACACCATACAGATATCAACAAGTCGTGTTAACACCATACAGATATCAACAA